CGCACGGCGCTCGCCACGCGGGCCTGGTGCGGGACGCGGCGTGCCCGCGGGTGCACGTGTGCAACAATTGGGGCCGGGCGGCGCTCGGGGCTCCTACCTGGCCGCCGAGGGCGGTGGGGTCCGCGAGAGCCGGGTCGGCCGCAGCCCGGAGCCGGCGGTGGCGCGGCTCGCCCGGCGCGCGGCACCTCCCTCTCCCCACCCCAGGAGGCGCTGTTTGTCAAACTTGGCTGCCCTGGCGGGAGGCGCCGCCGGCACTCTCGGGAGCTAGGCGCGCGCCGCAGGCCCGGGGTCGGGCGTCGGAAACCTCGGCAGCGCAGTCAACACTGGGGGAGGGCGCTGCGCAAAACCGGGAGCCCTCAGCTCCCCAGTGGTCACTTTTCACCCGTGAACCCCACCAGGCTTCCAGTCTCCAACTTCACATGCGCGGGGCTGATGCCCACGGTTTTTGCCTTCGGGTTCGGGCAGGTCAGCGGCCTCCCGGGGGCGCCCTGGCTTCCGTTTCCCTTTCTCTGTGGAGGGAGGGCGCGAAGGTCCCGCGGGAACCACCGAACCTAGCTGGCGCTCAGTTGAACAGGTGGGGGGGATGCCTGTGTGCACAGCTCCGGCTTCCATTTCTCTCTCCCTGCTGGTGACAGTGACCCCGTGAGCCCGGGCGCGCAGGGCCTGATCCCCTACCCGTGTTGGGCAGGGTCTGCCGGAGCAGTTCCGCCTTATTCTTATTCTTGGGTGGGGGGATGTCAGGGATTTTCTGGGTGCGCCTCCTCCATTCCCTCTGACATCCCTGGGTGCAGTGTCAGAGCAGCGCTCTCCTTTCAGAAGGTTTCAAAGCCCTGCCAGGCTGGAGTGGGCTGGAGGCCCAGGTCGCCTCGTTTTGCGCGTGACCCCTGGGCTCCAAGACCCAAGGACTTGGAGACGGCCGCGCTTGCCACGCGGGGCGGGAACCAGCCGTGGGCCTGAGTGGATTGCTTTCCACCCTTTGCTCAAGGCCTGGTGCTTGGAGGCCCGTGGGTGGCCGTGGATCCCCGGAGGGCGCCCCCTTGGGCAGAGCCTACCCAGCCTTCTGGTGCTCGGGGGAATCCCTGCTGGGGCAGAACATGAAGTTTCTCTTTAGAAGGGTGGCAGGGAGGCTGGCTCGGGGGGCTTGGTGAACGGGGTGCCCCGACGCTGGGCAGCGGCCGGCTCCACGAGGGGCTCGTGTCCCCCAAGTTGGCTAAAGTTTCCGAGTCCGTCCCCAGCCAAGCGCGCTCCTCCCAGGCCTTGCACCTCCGGCCTGGCAGGACTGGAGAGCTGTGGGGGGAGTGTCGTGGGGCGATCCCTGAACCACCCTCCCCGGGCAGCGGGCAGGAGCGCGGGCCATGGCTGGGGCGCGGGGTGGCTGGGCAGGAAGGCGGGCAGGGCGAGGGCCCGGGGAGGGTGGCCTGCTCCGCCGGGCTTGGCCTCCTCGCGCCCTGCCCGGAGCGGGGAGCGGGGAGCTGCCGTCGCTGTCTCTTTAAGGTCACTGCCTGCTTCGGCACGACGTGGGGAGGACAGCTGGGCACTGGCCATCTGACTGACTCCGGCTCGACATCTGGGAGCCCACTGGTGTGTGGCACGCGAAGCGCTCGATGCCGCTATTTAAATGCAAATGCGAGGGGGCTCATTGAAGCCTCTCCCCGTAAATGCGCACAAAAGGAACACTTCCCACCCTCCGAGGCGGCGGCGGAGGCGACGGCGAGGGCCACCCGTGCAAATCGCGTTGGGCGCGAGGCCCGGAGGAGCCGTGGTCGCCGCCCCCGCAGCTCCGGGAGCCCCAGCGAAGGCCACGCTCCGCCTGGCCCGGGCCCCTGGCTGCGCTCCGGGCGCGGTGCGCACGCTCAACTTCCAAAGTAGCCGCTGCTTCCCAGGCACCACTTCCGCCCCGGTGTTGCCCGGAACCGGCCAGGGGCGGGGGGCCGGGCTCCCGGGGGAAGAAGGCGGCCGGGGACGCGCGCCCGGCTTCTCCCTGGACACTAACTAGCGGCCTCCTCCCGCATCTCTGGCTTGGGTGCTCTGCCCCTCGCCCCCCCTCACCCCCGCGCCACATGGGAAGTCTGGGGGTGGCGGGGGGTGGGCTGCGCGCTCAGACCCCTCCGCAGTAGGCCGGGGCGGAGGCTCGGCCCGTGAGCCCTGTGCTCCCAGAGCTTGCAGTAAGTGACAAAAAAGATAAAGTTGGTGAATGATAAAGACCGTATTTTCCACGCTTTGGGTGCGGGACCAGATGATCTAGAAAATGAGCTGAAATGGATTCAGCCTCCGAGCCTGTTGTGAGAGCAGCTGATTCTCCCATTTCGGGCCAGATGGCTGCTGAACACAGATTTGCATTCATTTTCGCTTAATATCGTCCAAAATAGTGGGGCAGCTGCATTTGTTGTCAAAAAGGTTTAAAACCCCTTTTCTTTCTGGGGCAGGATCGTTACCTTATGTGATGAGCTTATAGAACTTTTTTTTTTCCCTCTTTAGTCAACAGTATCAGATTTAGAAGGATTTGTTTTTAAACCTTCTAATTTGGTAATCAGATTTAAATCGCCTTGGCGCGTGTAATCTGAATTAAAGATACTGTAAATGATTTTAAGCATGATACTTCCCCCGCACATGAGGACAGGGTACCTCCAGCCCAGGCTGGACATGAGAGGAAGTGGACCACAAAAGCAGCATTGTTTTCTGTTCCCAACATCATCTTTCCCTAAAAGACACTTTGCATATTCTGACTTATCACCCTGGCCCCCACCATGAGCCCCCCCCCCCCCCAGTCCCCCGCGAGCACCGAGCCTCAGAGCGCACGGAGACAAAGCCTTTCCCAACCCCACCCTCCACCCCTGGGCAACTTTCCTCCTCCGTGATCCCTCCTCAAAGAAAGTGTTACCTCCTGCACACAGGTCTGCCGTGAGTGGGAAGTGCCGGCTTATGAGGAATACCGAAATTTTCTTTTAATTTATCGTGAATAGTTTCCATACACTTTGATTTAAGGTTATTAACATTCTATAGACAGTGGCATCTTTAATATGTGGCGATCGCTTCTAAAGACTAATCTCATTACCCTCAAATAGTCATAAAATATGATTTTATTATACTTACGTATTTAATTAGACGGCCGGCCCCGTAATGGATTTTGAGATAGGACTGGCGCAACAGCTTTGATAATTCACTTATCTTTGGCAATAGTCATTAACCCCAACACCAGCAAAATAGATTGCTTTCCAGCACATCTCTTCTCTAACCCCTTCCAAGAGGCGCGGGGAGTGTCCCCAGACAGCCTAAGTCGGACTTCGATTTTCCCGATTAATTAAAATATTAACGTATACACGCCGCCACACCACTAAAAAGAAGGCAGTGCTGCCCAGGCCCGGCGGGAGGAAGCTGCCCCACGACACTCGCGCCCCGAAAGCTATTTCCTCCTCGCCTCGACTCGCAAGGGCCTGGCTTCTCCCGGCAGGAAAGTGTGCGGGACACCTCCCGGGCGTCCCCTGGGTCTCCGCCTCGCGCGGAGCAGACGTCCGTTGGGCGGGCCGTGCGCCTGGCGCTGCGCCCCGGCCGGCGGCGGGAGCTGGGCCGCCCGGCCCCGCGCCGCCCTCCCCGACCCCTCGAAGCCCGGTCGGAAGCCGTGAGCCGCCCCCCGGCCCGGGGCCGGCGCCCCTGGCGCCCGCTCCGCGTTTCCAGCGAGGGCCACCGGGAAGGTCCGGCCTGGGCGCAGGGCGCGACGCCGGACACCAGAGCCGGCGCCCTGGGCCGGCTGGCCTCGTTCCCGTCGGCGCGGAGGCCGCGGCCTCCTTTGTCCCCGCCGCGCGGCAGGACGGGCCGGGAACCCGGGACTCTGGCAGCCACCGGGAGGGAGAGGGAGCGAGTGACGGAGGACGCTGCCTCCGACGTGGATCCCGGGCCGGGCGCTCGCCGCCCGGGGCTCCCGGCGGGGCTAGACGGGGGGGCCGGTGGGCCCGCAGCCGCCCCAGGTCTGCCTTGGAGTCAGGCTGCGCGGCGCGGGGCTCGGGCTCGGGCTGCGGAGGGGAGGACCGGGCACTGTCCCCGCCGTCCGCCCCTTCCCGGGGTTCCTCCCCACGGGCTCGGCGCCTCGTCCCCGGGTTCCCTGTGGGGCGCCCGGCCCCGTGCATTTATGGCATGCACTCGGGCCTCGGGGGCCCCGGGCGGCGGCTGTGTGGCACGTTTGTGTGTGGGGCGGCGTGAGGGGGCCGGGCCGCACCGCTGCCTTCCGCGTGACCGAGGCTGCGGCGGGGCTCCGAGCGGGAGCCGCGGCGCGCGGCGGGGCTCGCGGGGCTCGCGGGGCTCGGGCTGGCTCGCGGCGCCGTCAGGCAGTCAGTCGGCGCGCGCGGCGGCGGCGGCGGCGGCGAGGGGCGCGGCGAGGGGCGGCCGCTCCCATATATGGCGCAGGCGCCGCCCCCCGACGTCACCCTCTGACAGCGCCGCTCCCGGGGGCTTCGAGTTTTGGCTCCCGGGAAAGGGTCCATTCCTCGGGGAGAGAGGGCTGAGTTTTGTGCGCCTCCGTCCGCTGCGCGCGCCGCTCCAGGCCCCGCCGCGCCCCGCCTGCGCCCGGGACTGCGCCTCGCCACTCACTGCCCGTTTATTTGTCTTTGGAGCAGGCGGGCCGCGCCAGAAGCGGGCGACCCCGCCGTGTCCTGCAGCCGCGGACGCCGCCCGGCTAGGATGACACCACGTTGAGCCGCCTGCAAACAACAACAACAACAAGCTCCGCCGGCCGCCGCGTCCCGCTCCGCCTCCGCCCGGCCCGGCCGCAGCGTCCCGCTCCGCCTCCGCCCGGCCCGGCCGCCGCGTCCCGCTCCTCCGAAGCCGCCGCCGGTGGAGCCGCCGCCGCCGCCGCCGCCACCGCCGCCGCCGCGCCCCCGGCCGCCCGGACGAGCGCTGGCCGCTGGTGCATGCGGCGCCTGCCCGGGACGGGCTGAAGCCGGCGGCGGGGCCGGACCGCGGGCGCCGAGCCGGGCGAGGGCGGCCAGGGCAGCCGCCGGCCGCCGAGCCCCGAGCGCCGCCGACCGACCGCGGACGCGCTTTCGGCCGGGAGCCGCGGCCGCCGCCAGCAGTGTTCATGTTTGGGATTCAGGAGAACATTCCGCGCGGGGGGACGACCATGAAGGAGGAGCCGCTGGGCAGCGGCATGAACCCGGTGCGCTCGTGGATGCACACGGCGGGCGTGGTGGACGCCAACACGGCCGCCCAGAGGTACGTACCGGCCGCGCCCGCGCGCCCCGGGCCCGGCCCGGCCCCCGCCGCCGCAGCCGCCGCCGCCGCCGGCCGGCGCCGCTCACCCGGCCGCTGTCTCTTTCCTCCCGCAGCGGCGTGGGGCTGGCGCGGGCGCACTTCGAGAAGCAGCCGCCCTCCAACCTCCGGAAGTCCAATTTCTTCCACTTCGTGCTGGCGCTGTACGACAGGCAGGGGCAGCCGGTGGAGATCGAGCGCACCGCCTTCGTGGACTTTGTGGAGAAAGAGAAAGTAAGTGCGCTAGCGACCCGGGCCTCGGCCTGCGCCCGCGGCGCGCGGGGCCGGCGCGGCTCGGCGGGGCCGCCCGCGCGCCCCTCCGCGCGCCCCGCCGCCCCCGCGCGCCCGCCCCGCCGCCACGTGCGGCCACCGCCGGGCAACTTTTCCGCGCCCCGCACACCGGCGGGGCCGCCGGCGGGAGAGGCTCCGCGCCGCGCCGCCGGGAGCCCCGGCCTGCCCTGCGGGAGGCCCCGGGGCCTCGCGCACGCCTGCCTGCCCGCTCCGAGGCGGAGGGCGGCCGAGCGCGGGGGGGGGGGGCCTCGCCGCCGCCGCACTAAATGCAACCCTGTACCGTTGCTTTCAGGAGCCAAACAACGAGAAAACCAACAACGGCATCCACTACAAGCTCCAGCTGCTGTACAGTAACGGTGAGTGACCCGGCCGCCGCCCGCCGCCGGCCCCCGCCCCGGCCCGACCTAAAGATGGCGAGACTAAAATGACACGGATGTAAACACGAAATCTTCTCGTGGCATAGAAGGAAAACAAAACATAAACGATCGATAAGTCGATGGCACTTCACATGATTAACCGGTGGGCCTTCAAGTAGAAGGTAAAACGAGGATCGATACGGGCTCCTGCAAAACAGCACTTTTAAGTGACTTTTTTCAATGTTGCAAATTAATGTTAATCACGGGGATGGGGCAGCGCCCCCGACCCAGCCCGACTCCCTGCCCGGGCCGGGTTTAAAGACACGCGTCCCTGGGAGGCGATGGAAAAGGGCAGTTTGGACTCTGTTTGCATTGGGTGCATTCTCTTTTTCACCAAAAAATAAAGGACCGCACGGGCCCAGCAGCCCTAGGCAGCCCGTTTGGTGCCTGGCACAATGCTTCGAGCCTCTTAATTAAGAAAAAAAAAAGTGAGACGTGCCTGGCCTGGCCTCTCACCCCTCTCGGAGGGATTGCCCACGTTTCGCTGCAGCGCGGAGGCGGCGGTCACCAACTAGCCCGGGCTGTGTCCTTCCTGAGGGGCAGCGCAAACCCCGTTGAGAATTTGTCTCTGTGTTTTGCAGGAGTCAGAACCGAGCAGGATCTGTATGTTCGCCTCATAGATTCAATGACCAAACAGGTGAGAAAGTTTATGCCTTGCACTTGCTTTTTTTTCTTTTTTCTTTTTTAAGCTGCTAAGCTGGGGTTGTCCTGGGGTAGAGAGAGAGAGAGAGAGAGAGAGAGAGAGAGAGAGAGAGAGAGAGAGAGAGAGAGAGAGAGAGAAATGGATCTCTTGTATTTGTTTTTCATTTAGCTTCCTTGACATGCTAATGAGAATTCCATATTTATTGGAATAAATGGAGCGATTGGAGCAATAGTTTATGCTGTCATTAGAACAGGACCTATATGCTTTATTAAACGACTTGTGATTGGAATCAAATTCTGTCTTAATTAATTATAGTAATTAATATTTGACAGAAAAATTTCAAGATTCCCCCCTTATTTATTTTTTTTAAATGTTTCTCTGCTTGGAATCATTGCATTGATTTTATTTTTTTTCACTCTAACAAAGGCAACTAACTTCTTCCCAAAGCTCACTGAGTCAGGCTTGATTAGTTCATTTTTCCCCCTCCTTCCCAGGGTGATGGTCTAGTAACACGAGACGTTTATTTGGATTTAAAAGTTAAATGTGTTGGGGTGAAAAGTCACCTTGTTCTCCTCTAGTCCATCTTCACCTCTCAGCCCCCCATCTCCATAATTCAAACTCTGAGCTCCAGGGGTCACTCAAACCATCCACTGCTCAGCTCCCTCTCCCAGCCTCTGTCATACCTTGTAAATAACATAATTACAAGCAGTTCCTTATTAAATTATTTAACCTGTCTTGGTCAACTTTTCCGATGATAACTATTGGCTATCAGTAATGTGATTAAGTGCAGAAACCGCTTCATTGCCTTTTGACATTGGACAGTCGGTCTCCGGCTGTGTTGTGCTGGGTATTGTTTTTTGTTTGTTTGTTTGTTTTGTTTAAAAATCACTTTAAAGACATGGCTCCCACTCTCTTGAAGTGGAGTTGGGCCGGGGCACAGGTCCAGAGGATAGATGAAGTCCCCGCAGCCCCGCTGGATTTCGAGTGTACTCACATCACAAGCAGGCTCTCACCCTTAGAAATGAAAGTAGTGTCTTCGTTTTGGAGGTGAACTTTGAGAAGCGTGAGCCCAGCGAAGGGGGTCCCCGCTTCCCGGCCAGGGCACGCACACCTCTCGTCTCTGCGTGCGGTTAGCTGGCACGTTCCATTTCCCCTTGGAAAAGTTGGCCTGGCCTAGGCCGCCGGGGCGTCGGGCTCGAGGTCCGACGCCACGGGGAGCGCGCGCGGCTCTCTCCGGCGGGGGAGCGGATCCGACAGGTAAACCGGCTCTGCGACCCAGGCTGGCGGCGTGCCCCGCGGTCACTCCTCACCGGCTCTGCACGAGCCTGCGGCTCGGCTGCCGCGCTTCCCTTTGTGTGTGGCAGGGCCGGACGTTTTCGGACTCACCCTAGTCTAAGTTAAGCGGGAGGGGGGGGGGGCTCGGGTAGAGTGTACTTTCACCGTCCGTGTAGCCTGGCCCCGTGGCAGCGCCGCACAGGGCAGAGAAGGCAGCATTCAATCCCGCGCGGACGGGCACGGAGGGTAGAAAAGGGAAGAAACAGCCCCGTAACGGATCAAAGAGTCAATGGCGCTGAACCGACAGCTTATGGATTTCTGTTTGTGCTACAAAATAAAGAATAAATCAGATACCCGCGCGGGCTCCTGGGCGGGCCGGGGCGGGCCGCGCGCCCGGCGCCCCGCGGGGCACCGCTCAGCTCTGCGGCTCGGGGCGCGCCGGGCTGGGCCGGAGGCCGGGGCGAGGCCCCGGGCGCCCGCCAGGCCGGGCTTTGTCTGCCCGGGAGTGCGGGAAGGTGCCGGGGAGGTTGGAAGTCCTTTCCGGCTGGTCTCGGGGTGGGGGCGAGGGCCGCCCCCCTCCGTGGGGAGGGGACGCGCGGCCCCGCGCCCGCGGCCTTCGCCCCGCTTGTCCCCGGGCGGCGGGGCCGGGCCGCCGCGGGCCGCACCATCTGGCGGGGCCTCGGCTCACAGCCGCCCGGGCGCGCGCGCAGACGCCGCCTTTTTACCCGAGAAAAACGGTCGTTGGCGGCTTCCGCCTCCACGCCGGGCGGCCCTCGGCGCGCGCCCCGGGCCCCGCGGGCGGGAGCACGTGGCCGCGCGGGCCGGGCCGGCCGGGCCTCGGCGGGCGCCGCGCCACGCCCCGAGCGGGGCGACCCGGTGCGGCCCGGCGCGGGCGGCCGGGCCCCGCGGCGGGGGGCAGCGGGGGACGAGGCCCCGGGGCTCCCGCCGCCCTGCCCGCTGCCCGGGCCCCGCGGACGCGCGGACGGGGACCCCGGTGTGCACAATGCCGGGGCCGGGCGCCGGCGGCGAGCGCTCCCCGCGCGGGGAGGCCGGGAGGCCCACCCGCAGAGGCCGCCCCCGGCGGGCGGTGCACCTGCCGGGCGCCCGGGCCGCGGGCCCCGCCTGACCCCGGCCTCTGCTTGCCCCCACCCCGCAGGCCATCGTCTACGAGGGCCAGGACAAGAACCCGGAGATGTGCCGCGTGCTGCTGACCCACGAGATCATGTGCAGGTGAGCGGGGGCCGCGGCCGGTGCGGGGCCGGGGGGCGGGCGCCGGAACCGCATCGAGCGGAACGTCCGCGGTCCGGCTCCCCCCGCCGCCCGGCCTCCGAGGCCGCCGCTCGGTCAGAGGTGAAGCCGGGTCCCGGGGACGGCGCGCCCAGGGAGCCCGCCGGCCGCCCTGGCCGCGGCTGATGGGGAGGAAACCCTCCGGTACTCGGGTACTCGTTCCGGGGCCGGCGCGGGTGAGAGGCGGGCCGCGATTCTGTCGGTGGACCTCTCCTCTCCTGGAGCGCCCGGTGGCTGGGCGGCATCTCCGCGACCCAGATCTCTCGGAAGAGCAGCTTCCCACCTGTGATCTCCCCCCAGGCCCGGGGAGGTCGCCCCGCGCGGTGGACCCGCGGCCGGGGCTGGAGCGGCGGCCCTACAGTAGCAGGGCCTGTACTCTGAGGGGCATACTCGGCTTGGATATGAAGCCTGTTGCCGAAATGCCACTTCTGAGCAGACATATTGTTACAGCACTAATATACAAAAGCTGACTTTTTCTCATATCAGGTAATAAATATAAATTACAACCAATAAAGTGGAATTTCTTTATTATCCACTTCTGCATGTACTGCAATTAACATAGAAAGCGCACAGATGTGATTTAAGCTCTAAGTGGAAGACTGTAGACTTTCTTTAATCACTTTAGCTGTCAGCTTTAAAAGGCTTTATATACTTTGCCTACCATATGGTGTTAATTTAGCTAATTTAGACATGTAACCATTATACAAGTATGCTTTTTTAAAATGCAAGAAGCATAACATTTTTGTTTCATTTCTGCTTTAATTAAAGTTTCAATAACAGAGTTAAGGTAGGCTTAAAGAAGAAACAATAGAAGTTGGTGATGGATGGATGCATGCTTTTGTGGTTATAATTAATAAATGCCCCCGAAGAAATATTGGTGGAAGGTGGCATCTTGCATCTTTTCCAGAAATAACAGCTTGACAATTAGAGGTAAACAAAAACTGAAGCTGTGAAAAGTTATTCCCAAGCCTCCTGCCTTCCCTTCTTCTCAGTTCATTGCAAAGACAAACACCAACAACGTGTTTTCCATATTTTAGCATCACAGTTTGTGTGGAAGCTCGGGTTACCCTTCCAGCAGGAACGGTTAGACTCCACTTGGCTTCCTCTGGCACAAAAGTTGCCACTTAAGTTTAGCTGGGAAGCCTGGGAAGTTACTAGGTTTAGATTTGTCAAGCTCTCTTGGTAAGGAAACTGTTTTCTTGACTCCTACCGCTTCATTGTAAGACATTAAAAAGAAAAAAAAGCTTACAAGCCACACACGGATGAAATACATATTAAAACCTTTGTTTACAATTGCTCCACAGCCGGTGCTGTGACAAGAAAAGTTGTGGCAACAGAAACGAAACACCCTCAGACCCTGTCATCATTGACAGGTAAGGATGACTTCTCTATTTTTCAAAAGAAAACCACAGCAACGACAAACCCCTTTGCCTTGCTCCGTCTTTCTGAGGCTGGTGTTGAGCTCATCTTGTGCATTGCACCATTTGTTGTCGGCCTGTGTTATCACGCACAGGTGGGTTGACTTGGAAACCTGGTGGCTCTCTCTGTGGGGATTCAGTAATTGCTTTCGAGTTGTCAAGGGAAGCAGTTTCATCTGCCACTGCTCTCACTGTGAGAGCACTTTATGCCTAGAGAGATTCTGGCTTTAAACCCAGAGATATGTCATAAAATGCTTTCTGCTAATTTGTTAACAAGCGTTTCACTTTTGCATTATTATTATCATCATCATCATCATCACCATCATCATCATTATTATTTTATCTTGGATGGTAGTTGAAGTTGAAACTTGGGTGGTGCTGCTCTTGTAATTGTTGCCCAGTGGTAGAATGAATTTAATCTGCTCTCAATTAGTTGCAAAATGTCTCCTAATTTTTTTCCAATTGTGGCTGTCGTTGTATGTCAAGTAGCAAATATGTAACTAACAAACCAAAGTTGTTATAATTGAAACTAATTGCACATGCTGGTTACATTTTCCAACATTAATTTCCATAACTAGATTGGCTATATGCATTCTTTACGTTTGCTGCTTCTTTACGTTTGCTGCTTCTCCTCTTGCTATTTATTGTGTTCCTCGGGCAACATGGCATCCTTTTAAGATCCCAATCATTAGTCCTGGGAGTGTTAATGTGGGTTTGGCATTGCTTGAGTTGAAACAACTCAAACACCAGCACCTTCTTCTCTGGATACTCACTCAGAAATCGCTCTGAGGAGGAGAGGTTTGTTTCTTTCCAGCAGTGAGGAGTAGCAAAAGGCCCAGTATGTGATTGACTGCAGATTTTGAAATTGGTACCCAAATCAAATAGATGTTAGACGTGTACATAGGACACCAGTTTTGTGAAGCAGAGATTTAGACTTGTTTTGAAGAGGGGTTGAATTTCAGCAGCTTTCATTACGAAGTTATCTTTTGATCATGAACTTTGCTGTCTAGTGTCTGAAAAATTAAACCCGGAAAACTCCATGAGTTAAGCCTAGAGAAATATGCGACAGCGGTGGAGAGCAATGCTAATGTTTAACTAGCTGGAATAGCTGTTTGCTTAGTGGAGAATGTTCGGTGTCTGACAGAAGGGACAGCGCTCTTATTAGTAATCAAATAGGGCTGGCCAGTTGTGGCTGTCACTCAGGCAGTTGAGAACAAGTTCAACACTTTGTGGAACTTGAACTACAAAATCAATATAATTATATTTGTCTTTGGTGTTGTGGCTATGGAAATCATACAGCCTTGGGTGGTTGTTGTGAAACTGAACTCATTTTCTCTGCGTTGGCTAACAGTGTTTGGGCAGCTCTTGGAATCTTGTCTTTGGAGTAGAGGGGACTTGAAAAGCCAGCGCATGCTAGCTTCTGATGCACAAAGTGTTCCAGTGTCTCAGCGATCTTTGTAAATTTTGGAAGATGATGTGTTTCAAAATTGTGAGATTTCTAGCGTATCATGATAATGAAATGGCCATGTTGATTTGACTCACGTTTTGGAAACTGTTCTCCTTTTCTTCAGAATTGCTTTGGATTGATGTAACATTCCATCATTTATTAGATATTGATACTGAATAACTCTTGAGATCCAGGTCTTTATCACATGCTGGGAAATATTTTCCCCAGAAATCAAAAAAAAAAAAAAAGAATTGCTTTTTAATTCTTCAGAGGGAATGTTTTCTTATATTTATTCAATTAAAATGTGTGCTAAGGTTTCTCATACTTTTATAACCTAAGAGAAGTTTGTGATCATTTGATATTCTAGAAGCATGAGAGGAGGAGAAAAATGTAAAAACATTTGGTTAATGGGTTTACCATGTTTATTTGAATAAGGAAGATTGAAGCTCCATTTATGCCTGGCATAAATGCTTTGGAGGTCTTAATTATTGATGAAAAAATCTGCTCTGCTTCTAAATTCAAAGATATGACAATTTTATAGGAATTTTAATCACCTTCTATGTTAGAGATTTTAAGGTAAGGGTAGTTTTATGTAACAACAAACGCGATGGCCATTTTCAACATTCTTAAGAGAGCTGTCATTTATAATGACAAAATACTATTAGCATTTTGTTGCTTGCTGTAAATCCCTGTGAAATGAAGGTGGCCTTGGTACTATCTATAGTTTAAGGCATATTTCTAGGCAAGTTCACTAGGGTAAGTTGTATTAATCCGAGGAAGAAAAACACTGCTGGGAGGGAATCTCTTTGGAGTGACGCTGTCTTTCACAAGACGCGTTTCGGTTTCATAATGATAATCATTTCTGCGGGGCGTGTGCTGCCTCTGGAAATTGGTGAGTTTCTAGCCCGAGTTTCCTCCTGAGTATTGCCGAATAAAATGTCCCATCAGATTGGCGAGTCAGTTTACAGGTCCACACCAAGCGTGTCGTCACTTGGCTAGTTGGCTTAAAAAAGAATTATATACAGTGCGCTTCACTGGCTCCGTGTGGCCTTTGGATACATTTAGCAGGTTCTGACCAGATAAGGCATATTTGTCCTGAGGATATAAACCAATAATTCCAACCTGAATTGAGATCAATGGGCCCATGTCGGTTCCAGCCCACACCGAGCCTCTTACGCACGTCCACACTGCCAGAGGAGAGAAGCAAGCTTCCCGCTCTGGCCGGGTAATCACATTCTATAGACCCTGATGCCTTAAATCAATTAATTACACAATTTAGTTATCTCTGAGAAGCGTTGGATACTTAGGAATGGCATGGAAGACCCTTCGGAGTAAAACGGGGGGACAGTGAGGTGTTGCCCCTTATGAAGCCCTTTTCATTTACTGTGAAGCCTTTGCCTATGCTGTTTACTTCCCCATAAAATGCTGCTAGAGAAACACATTTTTATCGTTCCACAGATATAATTATACTGCAGTGTATTTAAAATAATAGAGCAGTTTACAGAGGCAAGGAGAAATGTAACATTGTCAAGGGAGGGGTATGAGTCAGAAGGATACACAGGCGCAGGTATCTGTGTAAATCTTACTGATCTGCAGAAAGTCACATGTGAGGAGAAAGGTACCCCCACCCTCTCCACATGCAAGGCCATGTATAGCCACACACCCCTACACGTGCATGGATGTGTGTGAGCACATGTACATGCACGAATTTTCATGGTATTGCTGAGAAGGCTGGGAGTATCATTTTCCTCATGGAATAATGTTTTCTGGGAAAACACAAAAGCAGATGGTCTTCATTAGGGACCCCATTGTCCACATATCCCAACTATGAGCAGATAAACCTCTCCTGTTTCACCCGTACATTCCAAGGGCTGCAAATGATTACAGGATGTCGGTGTAGCTGCTAAACCAAAACCACACTTGAGCTCACATCATTTGCCTGTGCCATCCCTGTCTCTTTCCTCAGGAGCTCTGGAAATGCCCCAGAGGGCACATCCTCTTCACCCTCCTCTGCCCTGCTTGGCCTGAGGCTGGGTGGGTGGGGGGACCAAAGGGCAGGATTCAACTGTTGCGGCGTGGCCTGGGCAGGCGACTGCGGAGGGCGCAGGAGCAGGGCCGAGTGCCTGCCCACACGGGCTGGCCGCACACCGTGGGCCGCATGCAGGGCCCAGGCGGGCTCGACGGGGCGGTTCCAGATGGCATCGTCTCTGGCGTCCTGCTCACTGGCATCTCTGTGGCAGGCAGTGCCCCCTCCCCAATAAATCTGGCATTAGTCTATAGAGTTTGGGAGACTTATCATTCCAAGTCTGTTCTACTTTCCTGTCTGGAAGCCAGACATCTGTTTATCCCATTTTCTTTCATACAGAGTTTGGAATAGCTTTAGTTTTTCTTGAGGGGGGAGGTGGGGGTGGCAAAGTTTTGTCATATTTAACAGCTGTTACAGAATCTCAGCCCTGTGGGCTCTGAAAATGCTTCTCAGCTGACCTCAGATTTTTATACATAATTGACATTGGGTTGTAGAAAAATATTATTTGCTTAACCTTTCATTGCCTGCGATTTTACATCGTCTTTAGTCAGAGCACCTAACTGCCAGCAATTTCAGCCCTGCACTCCCCCCCCCCAGTACTCCCCACCTTCCAAATCCTGACTAGGGTGCATTTGTGTGCATTAAGTTTACACCTTAACAGTGGTTTTAGAATGGTAGCCAAGACTGATGGAAGGTGTTTTTTCCTTTTTTTGTTTTTTCTTCCTATCTTTTCTTCTCTCTTCTCTTCTTCTCTTCTTTTTTCTCCTTCCTTCTCTCTCCTCTCCTCCTTCCTCTCTCCTCTCTCTTTCTCTCTCTCTTTTTAGTCAACAGTGTTTCCTTTCACTTCCTGTCACAAAGGTCAAAGAGAGCCGACCTTTGCTGGCAGTCCTGCTCACTGAATTATTCATGGGATTGACTTTTTGTCAGCACACACAGTTGTGCTCTGGGACATTTTATTCATTTACCTCATTTAAAGCGCCTTTCTGCACCTGTTCAAGTATTAATATCATGTAATTTGGGCCTAATGCCGATTTTGCTGAACACTCATTATATTTTTTATTAGCTATATTTCCAAACGATTATGTATGATTATTACCAAGCCTTACAAACAGCACTGGGTTATTCCCCAGCCCTTACATCTTCTTGTCAGGTTGTTTTCAGAAGCAGGGAGGATAAACATTTGACCAGTCCCAATGTTTTTATTCGTACTCCATCTCCAAGCAGAGAACTTAAGGCTCCCTCCCTCATGGCTTTGCACGCGCGTGATTAAATCCAACTCCTCTGAAGCTGTACAAATGCCAGCATTTATAAGGTCAACGCTTTTGTTAAAAATGCTATGTAAATGAGGATCTGCAAAAAGGGACATTAAATAAAATTAAATTCATTGTCTTCTTTAATGTCATTTACATTTTGGCTAAGCCTTAGCCTGTCAAGGAGGATTTTAAAAATAATTTTAATTACACATCATTTAGGGATCCAAGG